TCTACATTACAGGTTGTACTTTTGAGGTGAGGGCTGAACGGGGATTCCATGGGGCTTGAGTGAGGCTGAGTTCTGGGCTTCTGACTTCAGTGACATTCTGTAAACACATGCAAAAACAGGGGAGGATTATTGGAGGCAATATGTGGTAGGAGAGAGGAGGAAGAGAAAATAATACCCTGGTAAGAGGACTCTTGGAAAAGAGCCTAGAGGAGAGAAAACAGAAATGGTGGAAGAGGAATCCAGACATAGAAATCACTAATCCATGCTTCGAGCTGGAATTGTTCATTGGGGGTATAGTCAGGTTACTGGGACTGACCTCAAGGGAGTAAGGGTGAGAGCAGAGGGTGTCCAGGAGGCCTCACTGGCCAGGTTTCGATTTATATCATTACATGTCATTCTCATTTCTAGATGTTGCAAGGCTCTGTGTGGAAATAATCCCCAGAACTCAGAAAAATAGTCCTCTCCATCCCAACCTCCCCTCTTGGGGCTCTCTGTGAGTTCGGTAGCTCCACTTCTGCACTGATGAGCTCATGTGCAGTGATGACATACATCGCTAACCATGCGAATGTGTGATGAAGAGACCTGTTTTTAAGGACTGTACCTTGTCCAACTGCCAGGAATAGGATCGTGCTGCTCTGGTTATAAGAAGTATAGCTAGATACAAAGATGAACGTTTCACTTCCAAACAGTAACTACTGGCAGAACTGGAAGTGGAACCCCACCATCTGGTTCCACGTGCATGTATGCTCTCGCCCACTTTCCTCGAAAGATTACTTGGAAGAGACTAGAGCTAGACCAAAAAGCAAGAACACATCTTCAGTTTGAAGGTGAAACTGAGTTAGGAAACTGAGTTAGGAATCATAATTATACCTTTCAAAGTTTTAAAGCATATATATATATATATACATATATATATAATTTATTATATATATATGCTTTAAATATATTTAAAGACAGGGCCTCACTGTTGAAATCTCCCTGCTCCACCCTCCCAGCTGGGACTATGGGAACATACTACCAGCACATCTGGCTCTTTTTTTTTTTTTTCTTTATAGATAAGGTCTTGCTATATTGCCTAGGCCAGCCTTGAGCTCACCATCCTTCTGCCTCAGTTTTCCTCAGTCACTGGGATTACAGTTTCTCACCACCTTGCCTGACTTTTCAGTTGGATCAGGAATCAGACCTGGGCTTCCCATGTGACTCCATGTGGAACACAGTGTCTCAGCATGTAACACCATGTCTGGGCCCTTACCTCTCTTTAACAAAGTGTCATTATTGCCATATGACAATACCGAATTAGTTTCAAACTC